TTGTCATATACATATGATTGTGGATAAGAGGAGAGAGTGGTCTACATAACAAATGGACGAAATATATATAACTGAGACATGAATATACATACACACTGGACCATAAAAAAAAAAGAAAGATTGGTTGTCTTACATTTGCATTTTATCACACGTGATGTTTAATATTATATATGTATAATACGTAAATTATATATATATAATCATATAAGGGAAAGTCTCTCAACTATATCGTTTTTAAAGACATGAATATGTACATCTCTCTCTACCCCTATAGTGAAAATTTTACTATATATGTATGCTGTGATTACTATCCTATATATATAATTTTTAACTTATATACAATATCAATTAAGCTTTATTTAACAATTAACTTATACAAAACACCGTCTGACAAGACGCTTTAACAGAAGAACTTAAAAAAAAGGGGAAAAAAAGAAAGAGACATTAAGATTTGCGTGGAAGCTTATTCTTGTAAATATGTGTTGTGTCTATTGCGCTTAGCAAGTAAGAAAAGAGAAAAAAAGTTCATATTGAATTCGTGTGTATTTTCTCTTTGATATTTCTTTCATTCTTTATCTTTCTCTCTCTACCTCTGTTATACAATGTCATTATTATTTTGGGACATTTTGACGATTGTTTCAACATTTATTAGTTCTCTATGCTTCTCCAACATCTCTAACAATATGGGCTGTTTTACTAGCATATATCTGCTTGATGCTATAAAATTTCTAATGAGTTTTTTCATTATATTTATCTTTCGTAAAGTTTTTTCCATTTTGTTTTTTCTCCTAAAAAAGATTTTAGTTGTGAGAAATATGATAAAGATAAATTGTGATATTTGTGACTTTACTCACTGTACAATTTCAGGGTATGTTTCCTGTAATCTCTCACTTCGTATCCGTTCCTGTTCCTTTAAAAAATTTTTGTAATCAAACAACGCCTGGTGACATTCTACTTTTAAATCTAACTGCAGTCGAGATCCTTTTTCAATGGCTTCGTGAATGGTCATAATACTGTCATTGAAAGCAAGTAGTTTACTCATATAGGCAAAGAGTTTACTGGAACAAACGGAATTGAACTTTGATTGCATCTCTGCGTTTATATCTAATATCGATCCAATTGTAGGGTAACGACATTTGTATAAACACTTCTTACTTTTGGTCTTCAACATCGCCTTCCTTATTACTAAGGATAGAAAGAATAGTGGCACTATGAAGACATAATTTGATGGCCTTGGCGTTTATCAGTGTGTCACTTGTAACATTCTGCAATGCAACTCCAACAGATTCTTCTTCATGTCGCCTTCGTCCGTCATCTGTGTATTCTGCAATTCAACGATTTCAAAGATTTCAGATCGAATTTCATGTCCCGCGCATTATTAACGACATACGTTTATATTTTGCTTGAAGCATTAATAACCTGGCATTCAAATGCATCAGGGACTCTCTGGCCGTCTGGATCTTCTCCTTGACTGGTTTGAAATCGTTCAATGAAATCGCACCGATCGGGAACTTGTTGAGCACCGCGTTTAGGCTCTTCACAGATTGCTCCAACTCATCGAGCTCCATTATTGAGAAATTTACAAAAATTTCTTGCAAACAAGAGATATATATTATTCACTGTACATACATACACAAATTGTTTACCACCGTCTGTTTTTGAATCCAGGTGGACAGGTTTGTCTTCTTAAAAACCCAAATTTACTAGATCCCTATTTATTCATCCATCAGAGCATTCGGTGGACCCGATTGGTCAATCAAATCAGAGAGGAGCCTGAGAGGGGTAACGCCATCGTTTTTCATAAGATACTTTTTCTAGCTGGTACAGTAGCGTTATCTAGATCCATTTTAAAGCCGGCGGAACTACATAGCCAGATTCACTTTACGGTAAAACAACCGGTTGGTACATACCGGAAATAAGTTGGCGCTGGAAGTTCATATTTTTTAATAATTTATAGCTCAAACGATTGCTCCTTAATTGCTCCGTCAGAATCCACAATTGCTCCCCTTTTAAAATTAGTAGTTTTCGAAATATTTACAAAAAACGTAAAACTTATCATTTTCACTCAAAAACATATTTCCAATAGTTTTCTGCAACTATATCCAGCATAAAACGATTGCTCCTTAATTGCTCCATATTGCTCCATCATTATTTTCATGATTTATTGCATTTTTTAACGAAAATTAACAAATTAATAATTTTCCAAGCGACGCCGTCGCCACCTATCGGCCGCCTATCGGAACTATATAGCTCAGAAGCCAACGGCGAGAATTTTCAAACATAATATAACATAAAACAATCGTTTGAGCTATAAATTATTAAAAAATATGAACTTCCAGCGCCAACTTATTTCCGATACGGACATGCACCAACCGATCGTTTTACCATGGCATCAAAAAGGGAATCTGGCCATGTAGTTCCGCGGGCTTTAAAATGGATCCAGTTAGCGCCACTGTACTAGCTAGGAAAACGGTCTCGCGCGAAAAACGGTGGCGCGGTCCTTTTCAGGCTTCTCTCTAATCAAATATTTCCAATACAAATAATGCAGTTCTCGCATAGTTAACAATTTGATTGGTTATTTGAATTTAGGGTCAATATTGAATTTATCGGTCGTTCTATCTTTGTTTAACTTTTTTTAGTAAGTAAAAAAATAGAACGATGCTCGTGTGCACACGGGTGATGTTTTTCGAACGCATTCTATCGTGCGCCATTGGCTGTCGAATGGGGGAACACTTCAAAATTCTCGGCAATGTTTTCAATTTTAGCTGAAGATGTCAGCCTCGCATGACAAAAGTACATACTGTGATATCTTATATTATAATGTTCATTTCTCGCTTGATTTTTTTTCAGAGACAGCAATTTCTATAATTTGCAAAGTGATTTTCGATTAACTATTTATGGACAGAAATTATATTACTTGTGGACTAAATATTAAACAAATTTTTTAATGTTTTTCTATCTTTTCTTATTCTTTGATGCGCGAAGGAAATACATAGCTAACGAAATATCTTTCTTCGTGTTTACACGAATCCGTTTCCATGGCAGCGGATTTGAATCTCAGAGAGTGCGTAAATATTTGTATAACGATATATTTGCCGGGGAAGTTGTTATATTTTATATATAATATTTTTTATGAAACATAACGAAATATGATAGAAGCGGTTGAATCTGACGAGCAAATTATTTTGAGCATAAAAGAAGGTAAGATATCTTATTACATAGATATCTAAATTATTATCTTGAGTATTTACAAGCAATTTCAATTTCTGAAATAAAAGTATTTTCGAAATTACTGATTTATTTTTATAATTTGCAATTAAAATGAGCTTCTTTAAAAAAAAAAGAAGAAAACTATAAATTTATACATTATAAAAGAAACTATAGAATTTATATTAATATTACAAAAAATATGTGAATAGATATCTTATAAATAAAAATATTGATATATAAATTTTAAATAAATCTTAAATCAAAAAAAAAAATTTCGTGTACGTATTATTACAATTATGCAATCATATACTATCATATATTGTATACATATATATAATGTAGGAAAGGGTTTTGAACAAGTTTTACAACCAACATTATTGATTGGGACCTTAAATGGACATTCTCTAGAAACTGACAAGATAGAGCCAAGTTCAAATCCACAGTATGCGACTGACTTGATTTGGGAGACCACTAAAACTGCATTAAGAAAGTAAATATTTTACTTTATAAGGTTACTATTATAATCCTAAGAATTGAACAATGTATTTTATTTTGTATTTAATTTATAGAATGCGATCAGGACAAACTCCATTAAAATTAGAATGCTTTGCTTTTAAAGAGAACAAGGCTAAAGAAAGGATTGGATATGTTTTGCTAAGTATACGTTCTGCACACATAATATCTAAACATGGAGATTTGAGTCCAAAGGCAAATTGGCACAAGTTGTTGGGATTAAAGAATGATCTTAAAATACAAAAACCTGAATTACTTCTCACATTAAGAGTTGAAAATAGAAAAAGTACAGATTCAAACTCAATGATAGAGGTAAAGTATAATGTTATACTTTTATTTTATATGATTAATGTAGTTTTAGTTTAATTATACTAAGTAAAATATTAACATTATAATATGAATCATTGTTGACCTGTAATTAACTACATGAAATATACATCAAATATTTATCGTCAAATTGTATCATCTCACAGATAAGCAATTTGATGACAGAAAATGAAGTCATTTTGCAAAGTGATAAAATAATACCTTATTTGCATCCTGATGAGCAATTGATTCAAGTGGGCCCTCCAAATATCTGTTGTGAATTATTCTTATTGAGTATCACAGCCACGTGTACAGAGAACTTATATCTGTTATTACCTGAACCTCTAAGCAATCATGGTGTTGTGCGTTTTTTATATCGAGTTTTAGAAAATGATGTAGAACTGAAACCGTTCAATATAGAATTTGAAGGATCTTGTATTTTTCATGAAAAAGTGATAGTGAAAATACAAAGTTCTTTGAGTGTATTAAAACATTACCTACAATCAAAGCCACATTTTTTAATATTTTTGAAACATGAAGATAGTATAATAGCTGAATCATTGGTTAATCTGCAATCACTAATACCTGTGGACAGTCTGCAAGAATTTCTCAAATGTACTACAAACGCGAGTATTATCTTACATGAACGATGTTTTCTAACTAAACTAGACGCAATAGAGAAACCCATTGAAAACCAATATCAAAAATCCTATCTCGATTTACAATTTGAACTGCAATATATTGGAAGTAAAATTGACATTGTGCGTGATTCTGATACAATAATAAGTCCCAACAATCCTATAATATCTTGTATTCAATATCATAATGAAGAAAATACGAATAATATCGGTCAGGTAGAATAGAAATTTCTTCATTCTGTCAATAATTATTATCTTACAGCGATTATGTGTTTATACAACCATCTATCTATAAAATATCGCTTTACATCAATATATATAATATTTACATATAAAATTAAAAATGACGGATTTTTTTTAGAGATGTCCAGAGATAGAATCTCATAGAAATCCTAGCGGCGATTTTGGAAAAATTAATTTCAAGAATACACCTCGTGAAGTGAAACTGTTGGGTGCAACAGAATGCAAAAATATAAATGAACAGTCTGATTGTCAGTGCGTGAAACATCAAATGGATAAAATTACATATTCACGCTCGTGTAATGCGATATCTTGCAACTGCATTAATAACGATTTCAAATCTATAGGATCTTACCATTGCTATTGTCTATATATTTCACTTGCGGCAATAACATTGGTATCTACAAAATTATCTGGACGTCAAATTGAATTTCGGTTTGTTTAATTAAATATGTTTTTTTGAACAATCGAATATTTTTATTTAAAAAATTATCTTTTTTAAAACTTTATGTGATATATGATCTCTTCTCATAGATTTCATCATCCAAAAGCCGATATCACGTCAATGATACATGCGACAATGCCAGCTTTATCTGGCGAAAAAGTTAAATTACAAGAAATTGGATGCCAATTTCATTTTATATCTACGCCAGACGAAATAAAACAATTATTAAAATCTTTTCCACCAAAGATCAGTATGTACGATACGAACGGAAGCGCTGAACCATTATCGCTATCGACGCTTGATGTAAAACCTTTATTTCATCAGGATAAGGTAGTATTACTGTTGTATTTACAGAGAAACTTATATAAAATAATAAAAATTAAAATAGAAATCTTTTTCAGCCTGAGTGTCAATATAAATTACCTCTGTATGATACAGATCAATGTAAAATTGGTGAAATAGACATTTTACTTAAACTAGAGAATCGTGGACCGCACTTTATATTAAAGAAAGAAACTATTGGTAAAAATTTATGTTTAATTCACTAAATTTTTTTTTGATATTTGGTTTTACAATATATAATTCTTTAATGCTTATTTTAATACTATACTGTTACTGAATAGTAATATGATATATTTTTTAAAAGGTAAAAATCTAGGCCCACCAATATTGGATGACAGCTTAGCATATAAAATAGTAGATGAGCTTGAAACATGGAAGGAACGACAGAAGGAAATGTTTAAAGCCGAGGTAAATAATAAAATGATAATAATATTTGTTTAATGAAATGTTATTTAAGTGTAATATATATTGTAGCTTAAGAGAAAGGAAGAACGTCATCTGAACATATTGAGCGAGGAATGGCAAAAACAAAAAGAGAATCTAGAATCGAAACTCGCATGTAGCGTCGAGCAATGTAAGATACTAGCTAACAGCTTAAACAATGCTACGGAAGATTTAAGAACGCGCAGATTAAAAAGTCTAGAAAACGAGACCAGATTAATTAAAGCAAACGAAGATTTACAATGGAGATATGAAACTAAGTTACAAGAGCTTAAAGATTCCTTGGACGCGATGCAAAATGATCTTACATCAAAGGTTTGTAAAGTATATAATTTTTATACACTTCTGCTCTGCTTCTATGTTTTTCATTTATTTTATAGATAGTGAGATCAAGAAATGTGATAGAACATATAAGTACATAAGAGTAATGATAGGTCGATATTGACTAAGTTCGTCTCATTTTCTATCGAGCTTTACAGCTTTTCTTTATCGAGAATTTCTTATCAATCATATTTTCAATTAAAATATCTCAAACACTAATGTGCCAATAAAAAATCTAACAATGGAACTTGTTATTTTTTGTCGATAAAATCTTTCGATTGCAACTAATCCTAAATTTCATATCTATTTTTGAAGAGTTAATTTTTTTACAGTTGCTTAACAATTTTTAATTTTCATATATAATATTGCAGATAACCAAATTAGAAGAGAAGAAAATTGCTTTAGAAGCGCAAGTAGAAATATTATTGTATGAAAATGAAACTTTGAAATCATCAACAAGTAAACAGGCGGATGAATTGCAAATGTATCAAAAGGCATCTTTAACTAAGGATCAAACAGCGTCTTTGTTGCAAGAATTAAAAATTCTCGAAGAAAAATTAGACAATGCCCAAAAGGGAAAATCATTTTTTAAAGAACAATGGGGAAAAGCAGTTCGTGAGATACACAAAATGAAAGTAGATCATCAACAAGCCATGCAAGTTCAAATCAAGAATAGTAAAGAAGAGCTGAAAAATGTGGAGTATGTTATGTCAATTAATTTTATTTGTACAGAATGTCTCATTTTAATCAAAAATATTTATGATAAAATCTCCAAATTCATAATCGAATTGAAGCAAAAATATGGAAGAACAACATAATTTTTCATGACTTTGCGGTTATCATCAATATTAAATATCTTGGAAAATTAATTTCAAATTTGTTACAAAAATTAATTTTATTTAAATATAATCTAGTAGATATAGAATCTTTTTTATTTATATATTTTGATATCTTATAATAATATGATGAAATACAAAATCTCATTTTTCAGTCTGGCCGAAATTTTAGATACAAGAGCTTTAAATAACGATCAAATCTTGCTGAAGGAACTTCAGAAAGAGATTGATGTGATCAAGCCGAAAAAATCCTTTGCTCCGAAAGAAGATTACAATCAAATATTTAGAATTAATGACGTTTACTCCAAGATTTCTTGCAATAATAATAAAATCAGATCTGACAAATCAGAAGAATACAATGACCGGTTGCAGGCATTGAGGGAGGAACGCGATTCTCTTTTAAAAACCGGAAGTTACGCGGCCGACGATATAGTGATTAAAAAACTTAACACAGAGATACGATCCTTATTGGTAAACAGGTAGCAAATTTATATTCTGGCTTAACATTTGTTGGTTAATATATTTCTATGTTATGCAGGAAAACATACATACGATTTTCGAATAAAAATTTGTGATTGTACATAGCAAGACATTTTATATTCATTTGTACAAATAAATATTTTATATATGAGACTTTAATTCTCTTTAACATCATTACTGATATTTCTGGAAGTATGGAAGTATGTCTAAGGGAGCAGGATAGTTTCTCAGCCATTTTGGTCCGTTGATGATCGTTCCTCGATTTAGATCAAGCCATGTTCCCGCTGGAAAATAGACATCGCGACTAATGGCACCTTCTTCAATTACGGGAGCAACCAGTATAGTTTCTCCAAGGAGATATTCTGTAACCAAATTAAGCAGTCATGTTTAATTACATATTATTATAAATCGTGTCATTTGTATTTTTCAGTCCTTATATATTAAGTCACTAATATATCTTTCTTCCATATGTAAATAAATTTTCATAGATTAGGAAGAAAAAAAAGAAATGACTTATTATAACTCTGGAATATTCTACAGTAGAATTTTACAAATTTACCATCATTAATTTTATGAGCTTCCTTATTAGTTGGGTCGACCCACCAGATAGGTGGATTTACCGGCGTGCCGTTGGTGACAGCCTGCTGCATGGCGTTTAGAATCTCTGGCGTGTAATTAGCATGTAAATCGGTATATTTCTTGCAAATAGCGATGGTCTGATAAAATATAGATAAGTGTTATTATCTCAGAACAATATTTTATAAAAAAATTAAATTATATTCGCGACAATATTTTTAATTCTCCCACAGAATTTCATTTATCAATAAGATATATATCAATTAACGAATAGAATTTTTCAAATTATTTACTTCATTGTCGAAATCCCACGGCACGAAGGAATATTGCAACGACGGCATGAAAACGTTAGCTTGCAACCATCTAATAAAAAGCTCTTTAGGCGGATATTCCGTGCCATTAAGTGAACCGTCCAGGTAGCCGTTGCCACCGATCATGTCCGGTAACACATGGACATAACCGTTGAGATTCATCTGTAGCAGCGTCGTGATTAGCGTGGGCAGACCATTGTTCCACGTCCATCTGGTGTCTTTGTCGATCATCCGAACGAATATCGGTAATTCCTGGCTACGCCATCCTACTCGCACCTCGATATAATCATTGAAATTGGCTGTTAACGCCTTGACGTAGTCTGTCGTGAATATTCCGGGCTGCATATCAAGTGAGCCGTTCAACGTTGCCACCTGCGGCAACCAGGATACTTCACCGGCATCGAATTTGAAGCTATCAATGCCAAGATTCTGAAGGAGCTTCAATCGCGTCACCCACCAACTTACCGCCTTCGGATTCGTGAAATCGATCGTGGCAGCGTCCACACCTGAAGAAAAATATCACATTCAAGTAACTGAAATTCGAATAATTTTCCGAATATGTTTACGTTATCAGATACGTTTTCATTAATATTGATGCAATAATGTATTTATGATACAACTAAATTACTAAGATTAATTATCATTGAATATTGAAACTTTATTCGCTTTAAGACGGAAAAATAACAGGAAAAGATCACAGCATTCAACAAGGAATATCTACTTTAAATTGAGATTGACTTTAAATCAATTTCACCTTGCCACCACGACATTTGAACGCTTCCGTCGAGATTTTTGACAAAATATGAGTTGTTCAATGCAGTGGAGTATGCGGGTTCGCAGCCTCGGTTGATGAATGGATGTATCCATAAAGTGACGCGATAGCCTTTCTGTTTCAATCGCCGCACTAGGGCGCTGACATTGGGAAACTTGATCGAATCAAACACGGCAGAGCCGTAACAGGTTTCCCAATTGTCGTCAATTTCAATTTGACTGTTGTTGAATTTATTGGCGATAATCTCGTCCGCGTAAGACTCCACGACTTTCTCAGTTACGTTAGCTTTGTATCTGGCCCAGGTAGACCATATGGGATGTCGAATCATCCTTTCGTTGGGACGACCCGTCGGTTTACCCAAATGGGTTTTCACCACGTGCTGATGAGCGGCCTTCGGATTTAGAAAGACACCTAGCTCATAGTCAAGTTGGACGCTAGCGCGATGTCGATAGGGCGCCTTATTCTTTGCGATCAGACATAGATAATTGTCTCGGTAATTGTTCTGATCTAGGAATAGCGGATTTGTCTCGTTCACGTAGATGTAGACTCCTTTGCCAGATAACCAGTAACGCTCGGACAATGCCATGTTTGTAGAATGCGTTGGTAGATACGGCTCTTCCTCGTAGTACATGGGCTGTATGGGCCAACGCTGATAACGGTGTTGCGGGCCACCGAACCATTGCGTACCCTCGGTGAACTGGTAACAATCGGCAAGCTCGGCGACGGGATCAGCTACCACACGAGTAACGCTGATGATCTCATGATCCGTACTAGCATAAATGGTAGTGTGCGTAACGTTGGCACTTTTTACGCAAAGTCTATTATTACCGCCACAATTCTGTTCAAGCACGAAGGGTTTTGATAGAGTTTGCGGCGGAGTCTTTGTATAAAAAACGTTTATCATATTCTCGCCGTCTGGAAGAAATATTGTATTCATCAGTATAGTTTCTTCAATAAGATTTTTCAAAATATAAAAATATCTGTACCAATTTATAAAAAGAAATATTAAACATGTACACACGCAGATTGTGAGATTAATAGGAATAAATTGAAAAATTTGACAAGTTAGAGGAAGATAAAGAGTGATGTGTTTATCACTGTGACTTACCATTTTTCGTAAGATTGAGAATGATGATGCGATTAATGATGTTTACTTGAAGAACGCCGTTTTTAATGGGAATAATTATTCCTGTATTTAAATTGTCGACTTCCTCAACATCGTTGTCGTAAGCTAACGCGCCGAAAGCGAATAGCAGCAATATTATGGACGAACGCATTGCTAAAAGAAATGCAGCAGATATTATCGAGTTATTATATTTATTTAAAATGTTATATATTCCTAAATTATACAAATTTTTTTTATACGTTTAAAGGAGATGTGCAAAATGACACCTTGTAAATACATATTTCAGATACGTCTTTCATCTGTTGTTTGATCTTGATCGAAAAAACTATGCACTTACCGTTATGTTCCAACAGTTGCATCTTGCACTAGTCCTAGTCACGACTGAATCAGCGGTGCCATTCCCATCAATTTATATATACTTGCTCCAAACAGTAATAAACACTGCATTCTACTAATACTCTGTATCAGTTGTATAAAGGTGTAATCACATGTTGAATCGATAACGAAAAATCGGATATCAAATCACTATTAGATAGATAATAATCTGATATCTGATTTTTAAACATCAATATCTCTGCAATATTGTTTTCGTAAATTGTTTATACACCTTTCATAGTTTTTATGATTATATATTTATTCCACACTTTACGCTGATAAGCAAGTTATGTTCAAATGACAAATTTCTATGTTCGAATATAACAAATGATTCATTAAGGTAAAAAATATAAAGTGCATATGTACATATATATTGCACTGTTTTCTTTATTTTAATTAAATCATTCATTTATGATATAATTTACAAAGATTATTTGCATCTATTTTCTTGCAATATATATATATATATATATATATAGATCTTATAGATTTAGAAATTCATTCGAATTATATCGTGATATATCGTGAATTATACCGTATTTAGTATTTTTCTAAATATAAATATATATGAGAAGCGAGCGCACATCTAAGCACACATATACAATAATTTTAAAAGATATAAAAACTTAAAATAATTTTATCTCTTTTATATTTCTTTCTTGCAAATTATATGTCAATAAATATATATCCATTAAATATATATGACTATATTTGACTATATCTGATTATATATCTGAATGACTCAGCTTCAAAGAAAAAAAAAGTGTATATAT